CCCGCGGGCTAAATTTCTTTTTCGAAAAGGCAATAACGCCCGCGGGCTTTTTTTTAGGAAATAAAGCCCATGTTAACCGACTTCAAAAAAAAGGAGGAGGTTATCAATTCGTCGGAATATTGTTTTATGTATATTACCGCATATCTGCCGACCACGTCAACCTATTTCGAAAATTCGTTTTGCATCGGAAAGGTTTTGTCTCAGAGGTGCTCCCATACTAATCTGATTTGGATCCGATCATTGGATCATGAAGAAATTAACGGTACTCTTAAATTTTTTTATGAGAATTGAAGTCGGTTTTGTTTTTTGCTTACAAATTACTTGTTTTTAATGTGGTAAGCGCATTTTGTGACTTTTCATTTCCACAAACATTTTACGTATTGAATACATTATTTATATGCTATTTTTTCTACTTTGTTGGTAATAATCGCCTTTCTATGTACTAATGTCTCCAAGCGTCTGCTAAAAATGTGTTGTAACGATGACAGAGGTCATTAGCTTATATGTACATTCGTTGACGCAATTTGCAGTAAATCGTGATGATGCAGCACTTATTATATTCTTTATGACTTACTGACTAACGATTATAAATAAATTAGTGTAAAAATATACATACATATGTACATCGAATGTTGCTTGTTGTGGAAAAAAGTGTTTCACCTCGTCTTCCCCTAAACCATTCACCTATGCCGACCATAGTCAGGTGTTTGTACCAAGAAAACTGATAGGTCAGCACCCTCATAAAGTTTTCTGCAGTCTCACTGCTTCTTGCAATGTTTCGTTAATTTTTAATAGAAATATTGGGCGCGTTCATAACACGTAGCTGTTTAGCTCATCTGCTACGAAACTGCTGGCAACTGTTGAACCCAACAATTACGTCTTAGAAACGGCTTGATGAATATGCTGATAAATGTAAACAAATGAAATTGCAACAAAGAGAGAGAGTTACGCCGATAGTATTTAAAATTTAACGCTGAGCTACCGCCATCTTGAAAAAATCGTTCAATGTTATAATGAACTAAACAGTATAATTTGATAGCAAATATCTTAGAAACATATATTTAGAAGCGTAGTATTATTACAAAATATTTTAGTTACTTTATCACATAGTAATATAAAATTGAATAAATATTTTTGCAACTGCCACCTAACAAAGCGGCGTTAAATTTAATATAAGCGGCGTCAGACTTTTCGATCAGCTGTTTAGGGAAAGGCCAACACGTTGAGTTCAGGTAGCGTAAAAATTTGCCGCTGGAAAAAATGGCGGAAAGTTGCCAACTGTTGAACTGAGTGGAACTACTCAACTGTGCGTTTTTAAGACAAATAATCAACGGTTACCCAACAGCTACGACTTCTGAACGCGCCCATTTTTCATTCTGCATCAAATGGCATATAAAATGTCTCCAAGTTTGTACAAAAGTTAGGAAAATTCGACAAATTTTAACCAACATTTTCAACTTTTAAACATATTTTTTTTTTAGATTTTTTTTTGTGTATGCAGTTTTTTAGTTCACCCAATTTCAAGTGCCGCTCTTCGGAATTTTTTCCCATACAAAAACACCTATCACGCATTCCTTATATGGAGAAAATGCGCCACATCATCAGGAAAAAAAATCTAAAAAAAAAAAAATTATGCGGCCGCTGTGGTGTAGTGTTTAGCAGAGCGCGCTACCACTCCAAAGGTTCAAGCCCGGTTCAACAAACGTCGAAAATAATAAAAATAAGTTTTTTATTCTAATAGCGGTCGCCCCTCGTCAGGTAATGGCAAACCTCCGAGTATATTTCTGCCATGAAAAACAGCTTGTCTCAAAAATACAGTCACCGTTACCGTTCGGAGTCGGGCATAAAACTTTAGGTCCCTGCGCTTTGTGTGACAACATCAAGGCGCCCGCCACAAACCAGAGGAGAAGCTCGGCCAAACACTAACATATGTGTAAGAGCCAATCTATTATTATTATTATTATTATTATTATTAATTTTTAAATAAAATTAAACTTTAAAAATTTAAACATTATTATAATAATTATGTCATATAACATAAAAAAAGATATGAAAAATTTAATAGCAAAAAGGAATTTTTTTTTAGACATTGCTTGGATGGAGTGGGGATGGAACCTGGGTATTTTCTGCTTCGATGATGTTAATCTTTTTATGGCTTCTATAGTTATGTATTTTTGTTTGGTACTAATGATTCCTGATCATATCGATGGCTGAGTGAAAGATCGACCTATCTCGGCAGCCAGTTCGAAAACGCTCTATCTCAAAAAACTTTTCAAGAACGCCCTACTTCAGAATTTAATTGAAAAACACCCCATCTAAAAATTCGGTTCAAAAACGCCCTATCTCACTTCAAAATGTATTGAAAATATGCTGATATAGGGCGTTTTTGAATCGACAGCTGAGATAGGGCGTTTTTGAAACGAGTTTTGAAATAGGGCGTTCTTGAATAGTTTTTTGAGATAGAGCGTTTTCGAACTGGCTGCTGAGATAGGTCGATCTTCCACTCAGCCATCGATATGCTATGAATTTGTATTGTATTTACATTAAAAAAAAAAAGGCTGGTCCCTAAAAGGCTGGATATAAAATCGAACAAAAACTATACATATCTCAAAGATGCAATTGCCTTCAACGCTCGTAAAATGGTGCTGCCAGCCAATTGCAATATCTATTTTTTATTATTCATCCATATTTTGGCGCAGACGTGTCCGCCTGCTTTGAACTATGTATGTACGTACGCATATTGCATTTCGCTCTCATGCATTGTGCTGTGCTTGCAAATATAGAAAGTGAATTAGATTTTCCATAATCGTCGGCAGTCAGCCGCTAATAATTTACACCAGGTCACATTTAAATTTCGCCATCTATATCACATATTGACCAACTTAATGACTTGTTGGCAATCATACCGTTGCCGTTGCTTTTCCAACTAATATTACATACTGAAATTGCTGGTATACGTGGGGCAAATGTCGTACGCACTATCGCTCCAAAGTTTCACTTTCGTGTTGCTTTGCATCAATTTACAATTACGAAATAAATTGCATTATAGCTGAGCAAATAATTTTTCGTAATTTTTTTAATTTTTTAAGCCGTCCACAAGTGTATGTATGTATGTGAGAAAAATGCACAAGTACATTGGGGGAAAAAAATATTGCTAATTACAAAAACATCGTGTTTTGCCAATTTTATTGATTTCCATCGCATTTTACATTTGTAGTTAAAGTACAAATTTTTTATTTTATCTCTCTTTTCCGCATCGTAAAGTCGCAAATACATTTGCGATTTTTACAATTTCCACACGATTTGATTTTAAATAGATTACAGCAATGTGTGAGTGCTTTTTGACTGGCGGCAGGAAAACCCAAACTACCTTCATATTTGTGTTGCGAACTACATTTTTAAATTCAAGCACACTTGTATACAAGGGTATTATAAGCTTGTCAATAATTGATGCACAGCGGATATTTAAATGTTACATCCCTTTTAGTCCAAAAAAAGCATACATATCCTTTTAAGGGTTTAACGCCACTCTAGCGACGGGAAAAAGGCTTAAATTGTATAGTGTTTTACGGAAGTATGTTAAAAAGAATCAAATCTCTGTTTACGGGGTTTATTAAGCATGTAATGAAGTGTGAAAAGCAAATTTTTTCCATCGAATCGCCTTTTTAGTACCAAAACGGGAGGATACATATCACGGAAAGTATGTATAATAAGTATCTGGAACAAAACCTAAGAAGATTATTAGTGTAAATACTAAGTATTGGAAGTATAAAAGTAGGTAAGAAATTCTCCGCTGATTAAATTCTTGTAGAAATTGTGAATTTTTGAATAGAATAAAATTTTGGAAAAAAAAAATACTAAAATTGCCGCAGTTGTATTGGTTATAAAAAATTTATTTTACTATTTATGTTTTATTTCACATCGTAAGCCTCACAGAAGGATGCCCCTCCCTGCCCTGCCCTTTTGCAGGGATACTTATCTCAATGTTGATTCAGTTTTCTTGAAGCATCAAATCGCCCCATCGTGTTCAACAGAACGTAGATAGAGGACGTCTTGCTTGTACTAGGTCTCAGAATTTGATTCCATTTATTCTATTTATTTAGATTTTTTTTATCAAGGGTGTTGCGCATATTCTTCCTTATAAAAATAGATTTTGTTCATGTGTTGGGAAAGATAATACCTGGGTATTCTCAAATCAAATGGAATACAGTCTCTTGGCTTTTTTTAAAAAGTAGCTGCGGCAAGTTCTATAGTCTCGAAGCCCTATTGTTAAAACATATTTCCCAAATAAGCAGCATTATTTAGGTCTTAACGTCTGCCATATTCCACCGAAATCACAAAATTCGAACCCTGGAGGCATTGAAAATCTGAAAAGGACTTAATTAACTGTAAATGTCTGACGGCGCCTATGCACTTTCGTCTCCTCGTTACATGGGTGTCTTAAAATGAGTGACGGTATGCATAGACATTTATGGGTTTGGTTTATTTAACAGATATACGGTTATTGATCGGCTGTAGTCAAACTAGCGGTGATTAAAAAAAAAAAAAAGTAATTAAAATTTTATTAGATTTTTAAACTATAAAAAATTTATATCCATTGTTTAAAGGGCCGAATATGTATGTCTTCTTTTTAAATTATCAAAAGATTATATGCAATTTTTAAAATAATAAAAATGAGGCCCACTCTTTCAATTATACGTTTTTTTCAATGTTTTTTTTTACCATAAACTTATGTCCAGTCTTTATGATATTTATAAATAATATTTAAAATTAAGGTCATGTCCGTTTTGTACTTTATCTACTTACGCACATATTTATGTACATGTACATGCACTTTTCACTATTTACGCCAGCAGTGTCATTAATAAATCCCTACCGATTAGTCGTATGTATATCATTTCCATTATCACCATTGAATTAAATTAAATTTAATAATTCTCTCGTGAACTTTTTATTAAATCTACACTTCTTTGTCTTTTTCTCTCCTTATTTATTTGCAGACTTTGCTCGTTGACAATAACGCGCCTATCCATACTGACTCCATTACCGGGAGATATGACGTCACTAACATTGGCCGTCAAGATGCAGAGCTCCAAGCGTACATTGCGTTCACACGAGATACCCATAAATAGCAGTGGTTTTGCGCAAAGTGCCGCATCCGGTGGCACAGCAACTGGCTCGACCGCTTCCAACAATGCTGGTGGTGCTGGTACTGGCAGCGGTGGCGTCGGCAGTGTCATACAACAGAGCAACTCTGGAGCAGCACTTATCGGTAGCAGCGGTGGCATTGGCAATGCAATGGGCAGTAGCGGTGGTGCACAAATGGGTTCAGCCATAATTGGCACGCCCGGAAATATTGGAAACACGGGCATTGGCATTGGCGGAAGTGGCAGCGGTGCGTCCATGACAGTGGGCGGAATTGGTGGCGGCGGAGGTATCAGTGGCGGTGGCGCGACTACGATGCCATTAGCAGAAACTGAATTAGATTTACACTTCAGTCTGCAATATCCGCATTTTATCAAGCGCGATGGCAATAGGTGAGTAAAGAAACGCATTGTTACGCAGTAGTGGCCTACATGCATACATAAGTGGCTAAAGGCAATTTGCTGAGTGTGTACTACATACATATTTATGAATGCGTGTGCTGCGTTTGTAGTTTGATAAGTTGCTTTTGGTTGCCAGTGCAATGTTATGTTGTAATATGTTTGTATGTATGTGTTTCAATTGGCATGTCATTGATATACAGTAGTACGAAAAAATAAGTTGGTCACTGCTATATTTTAAAGGTGCTTTAAGTCCGATGAATTTTGTTTAAAAAAATATGATTTGTTAAGTTAAGTGGTCGATATAATTACTTAAGTTCAGTGAAGATTGTGTGTTGCCATATATGAACATATGAAAAAATATATATGTTTTAACTTAATTTTGTATAAAATGCCAACATAGTTCCGACAATGGAATTATACAAAAGAAGTAATCAATAAATATAATAAAATTGTAACAGGCCGATTACATTTGGATATTATAGAAAAGTTAATTAGAATAGAAGCCAAATCAACAGTTTTTAGAATTTTTGTCTCTCTGTCTGTATATTTGTGTGCGCATCACTCGAAAAGTAAGGGCGCGGTTTCGCACGAACGTGTACGTAGCGTACCAAGGCGCATCAATACAAGGTGGTGTTGATTGAACAGCTGATTGGATGTTACTAGTACAGGAGAATGCCATCCAAGACGAAATGGCGTAACTTTAGGATGTCAGCGAAACGAAATGGCGAAAATTAGCTCCTATTCCCTTGCGTTTTGACATCCTGATGTACCAAAAAGAAATAACCACCTTATATGGATGCGGCTTGTAGCGTACGTTATAAGCGCGTAGAAGCATATCAAATTTGCTGTTGATGGAGAGAAAAAGAAGCAACGTCAACGTCACGGTCATGCTGTGACGAGTTTTCTTCAAAACGCAGATCCCATAAGATAGATCGTGTCAGCTGACACGTTTTCCTTTTTTACGTCTGTGGGTAACTGCGCTTTAAGTGGCCGGTCCCATGCCCATTTTCCAAAAATTATATTATATGAAAACTAATTTTTTGCTACACATTATGCACACACATACAAATTCGAGGCCGTATTTTCTACTTAAATTGCCTAACTTCTAAAATTGTTATGCGACTTCCAAAATTGGGCATAAAGTGCTTTAAGACCAGTAGCGCACAACTTTTATTGAAATTTTTCGGTCAAAGTTGGAGAAATCAAGAAAAGAAGGAGTTATTTTCAAATTTACCCGATGAAAATTCCAAACAATATAAGTTTAACAATAGATCAGGAACTATAATAAACCTGTTTTTATATTATCCTCGACCATACCTATAGGGTGATTCTATAAGACCGCAGATTTTCTTCTATAAATAAATCACAACAAAATTTGTGTAAATGTTTGTTTCTTATCCAATTATGTTTTTTTTCATCTATGACGTCTATTTATGAAACACAATATCCGTTAAATTAACACCAGTGTTGCCAGAGGGAGCACAGGATGCGCATATTAAAATTTTGCATGACTTTTGGCATAGTTCGGGCTGTATAACGTTTCAAGGCCATGTAATTTCGTTCCTCAGCTCTATAATCGTTTCTGGCTTGTAGGCGTATACCATACTTTTCACGTAGCCCCAGAAAAAGAAGTCAGATCGTAGGTTCTCGGCCTAGTTTTTTTCAGTACCATAAATGCGGTAGTTTTGCTTATTAACGTATCCTTTTAGGTGGAAATGTGCCTGATCACAATGCGCGACACGCACTTCTTGCAGAACGACTGCTTGCAGAAAAACGTTTCAATCACTTTTACGTGTTGTTCAGTTAAGTATCGCTCCATGACATAAGATGAACATTAACATGTTACAAACAACATGGGTCTACAAAAAAAAAAAAATGGTTGCATGTCCTTCGTATGTCATGTATGTAGTAGATGCGGTAGAGTAGGTGCAAAAAATTTTTGTGGCATTAGCTGAATTTCAAATACACCCCCAAAAACCTTAAGTTATCTCAAAGATCTTAAAGTCGGGATGTTGGGTCAACGCACTGGTGTACAGTGTTCAACGGATGCTCATAATCTTATGTTCGTTGAAAAGCGAAAGGTTTTGTCCTTCGACTGCTCAAAGGTTTTTTGTTCAACCAAGGTCTGAAATAAATAATAAAGATGGGAAGATCTAGTTTCCTTTGGGTAAGGCATTAGGTATGGGTTTAGTACAAGTAAATGGTGAAATTTTAACCCGAAGTCAGGGAGGCAATGGTTACGAACTTAATTTAAATTTCCTAAAAATAGTGGAACAACACAAGCATCCGTTTTTAAACGAACATAAGATTATGAGCATCCGTTGAAAATTATCCAATATATGACCGGTTTTTCGACTCAAAATGCAACCATTTTTATACCCGAGCGCACTTGTGCACAAGGGTATTATAACTTTGTTTGTTTGTTACTGGCAAAACTAATCGAGATAGATATAGACAAATGTATACATAAATGATCAGAATGAAAAGAGAAATCGATTAAGCGGTGACTGTCTGTCCGTCCGTCCGTCCATCCGTCTGTGCATACGATAACTCGAGTAAAAATTGAGATATCTTAACGAAACTTGGTACGTGGACTTCTTTCTGATGTAGGACGGATGGTATTGAAAATGGGAAAAATCGGACAATAACTACGCCTACCTCCCATATAACGGTAATTTTCAGAAATACGAAAACTGCGATATTTTAGTAACTACTGAAGATTATTCACTCAAAATTGATGATTACAATAAGTTTTAGACGAAAAATAAGAATATTATAAATTTTTGGAAAATGGGCGTAGCCACGCCCACTTATAGTTACATGTGTATATCTTGGTAACCGTTGCACCAATTTCTTCCAAACTTGGTGCAGTTGTTGGCCTTGGTATATCATACGAAATGGCTGAATATTTTTAAAATCGGCAAATAACCACGCCCACATCTCATATAACGGTAATTTAGAGTAATACAAAATCTTCGATAAATCAGTAAATATTTATTAAAGCTAATTTATTCAAAATTGATGCTTGCAACAATTCTTTACCAAGAAACACGTTTATGATAAAATTTTGGAAAATGGGCGCGCTTGCCACATAGAAGCAAAACGTTGAAAAATATTAAAATCGGACTAAAATCACGTCCGCTTTTCATATAACGTTAAATTTCAGAAATGCTTGAAACTTCAATATTTTGAAATTTAAGGACAAATGAAAAATTCTTTCGAAATAATGTTCTATTAGATTTTTATTACAACAAAAAAACATTTTTATATCCATAATATCTTTTATTTATAAAATTCTTTTTAACCTAATTTTTATCTAAAGATGATAAACTGTGGTTTATAAGTTAATAACTAAATTTCATCATTTCTTTTCAATGCTTGCTTGCAATAACCACAACACTGGCAAACTGAAACCACCCTTCAATGTTACCATGCAACAATACTCCTACACTAATACCACTACTGCATTCGAAAAAAAAAATAAAATAAATAAAAATTAAAAACAAACAAAAAACGCTACAATTCGCCCCAATAAAAATTGACATTTACTTAACAATTAATAATCGACCAAAAACATTAACAAAAAAATCTTAAACATTTAAAACGATGCCTAATATGTACTAATAACCAACTAATAACCAACATCATATTCATACTTACATATTAAAATTAATAAAATATTTAATAAAAAAAAATATTGCTGCTTTGCATGTTAACATCTTCCTTGATACGTGTGTTCATTTACATATACATACATTAAAAAAAAAAACTACATAATAATACATATAAATCATTACAACAGCAATCGCATTGGCTACAATTTACCCTTCTCTCCCTTCTCTCGCTCAAATGCACATAGACTGGTTATATTGTTGCAACGTCGCAAAAAATACAAATCACGCACCATCTTGGGCTACAAAACTCTGGCCGAGGGCATTATACGCATGGATGCAGTGCTGCAAAAGTCCATGGACATGACAGTCGAACTGACAGCATCCGGCAAAAATGGCCGACCAGGCACAACGGTTGCATGTCTACGTGCCGAACGCGTCTCATCCATTCCAGTTGATCATGACAATAAGAATAACAATAGTGTACTACTAGCAGGTGAGTAAATATTTGTACATACATATGTACATAGGGAAGTAGGAAAAAATTGTATTCACGAAAGCTGCAAATTAAAATAGCTTTAATGTGCTTGCAAACTATTTGGCGTTTTAATTGGCGCGCAAAATGTATGTTTATAAAATTTTAACGTTCCTCTTTTGTTTGTGGCTAATTGAACAGCTTGTTTCTGGTGTAATATAAAGAACAACATAAATTTCGCAGCGTAAATAGAAAGCAATTGTTCATACAAAAGCGCGACAACCAACAGTACCAGTGGCTGGATTCTTTTATTGGGTCAGAATGACTCCACATTATAGGAAGGGGAAGATTCCAAATACTGCAGAAGGGTTAATAATTGTTTTTGCTGACGGTGTTGTGCATATACATACATACAGTGACTCAAACAAATGACCACGTGTTGAATTTTTTTTTCAAATCTTCGTGCGGTTTTTCGAGCTAAATTCTTTTTTCTATATTTTTCTATAAAAATAACGTTCATTCTTTATCCAAAGTCATATAAATTACAGTTTCAACCTTTATACAAAATTTATAAAAATTCAACAAAGGATCATCAATATCTTAACCTTTTTATCTGAATCTTTAAAACGTTTTTGAGTATGCAGATTTATACATAGCTCATACATTTTCACTCAACGAAGTGCAATTTTTAAACGGCTAAAAAACCCCGTTGATTTTTGGGATTTTTTTTATTGGTGACGGATTTTTGCACTTTTTTCCATATAAGCATGATTTTTTTATGAAATAAAATGCGGGAGAGCGTTAGCAACAAGATTTCAACAGCATTTCAACAGCAGTTTTCGTAAATTGCACTTGTTATATTAAAAAAATCGCAAAGCAGTCTCAAAAAAAAAATCTCAACAATCAACGCGATTTTTTATTTTTTTTCCTAAATTTTGTGATGTATATGTTTTTGGTTAAATCTGAGACGGTATTTTTATAAAAAAATACAAAAAAAAGATTAACTCGAAAAACGTTACCAATATTAAAAAAAAAACCTACACGTGGCCATTTGTTTGAGTCACTGTAAATAAAGTATGCTCGCAAATTACTTTCATATGGAAGAAAATGCCTAGCATCCTCAGCAAACAAAAAAAAAATAATTAAAAAATCAACGCAACTTTCTAGCGTCATGAAAAATGCATACCTCAAAAAATTTCTAAAAACTCTGAATAAAAAGTTTATAATTTTTGGGTGTAATTGTTAAAGTTTGTTGAATTGAATAATTTTTGTCGGAAGTTTAAAAATTGAATTTATCTGGTGCTGGTTATGTGATGGCTAGGCTTTTATAAAAAGTTTAAACATCAAATAGACAAAATAAAAATATTTAGTCAAAAATTGTCAAAATTCCACTTAACTTAATCAGCTGACCACAAGGGTATATACATAATACATAACTATGTACGTTTGCGTATTTCTTTGTTTTATTAGCTGATTTCGAAACCATTGTACATACGCATTCCAATGATCGCACATAAGGAGTAGTTATCTGAAATTTCATTACTGATGTACTAATGTACTATAGATTCGGGGCGCCAAAATCACTTGCTTCTTTTGTGGTTTTTAAGTCTTTAGACCGAACATACATACATACATACTTAATACAAATACAATTTTTTTATTTTTGTTTGACGCAGTAACAGTCCAAGCTATTTCGGTCTTGTCTCTTATTTGTCAATTTGAGGCCAATTAGAAGTTCAAAATTAACCAAAGTTTTTCTCCAACTGGTCTCTCAATTACAGGGGTGGCCTTCCTTTTTTTTTTGTATTTCAATTATCTAATGTGCGTATGAATATTAAATTTGTATTGGCCACACTTGACGTAATTTCCGTTCATTAAAAACATAAACTACAAAAAGTTTCCTGCGAAGGCAATTTTAATATTCACCAATCGCTAATCAATTTGATTTTCCGAGAAAAGAAAATTTACTTCTATGTGAATGGGTTGGTTGTGGAATTTGCCTTTGTCGCTACTCAGGATTCAATTAGCGTGGGCAAAGATATTTTATTCTACCGTTGGTTACCTGTCTAACATTTTTGCAGTTTCGTGAATGTTTCGAATCGCTTATGTGGTTGGCGGTAGTTTTATGACTTAATGAAGTCAATTTTGGGCTGGAATCGGAACATTCGTGAACGAGCAACTCGTCACGTAAAAATGCATACATACATATTTCGAATTATAACAGTCGTGAACGTACTGCTCGTCTCGTAATTCGGTATGAATTTTTACGTGACGAGTTGCTCGTTCACGACTGTTACGATTCGAGCAGCGTTGTTGCTTTGGTAATTTTTTTCTTTATTTCTCAAATTTTGTAATTTAATTTTTCTCTCAAATTTGGTAATTTAATTTTCAATTTGGTAACTCTTTCGATTCGGTCCTACATGTCACATAGGTGGCCCGTAATCGTTTCCTTCTATAGCAATATTAGATAATCCTGTAAGTTGCGCTTCTAGAATGGTGTGATCTCTAACAAACTGCTTGAAAGTGGCTATTGATATATCTACCGTGTTCTTTCCGAGTAAATGGAAATGGAGTAAAAGTGAAGCTCTCCATTTGTGTCACAACATCAAGAGCAAAGCATGAGTTGGGGAAGCGGCAAACATTCATTTATTGCAATCAAGTATGACATATGTATGTACTGTTCATCCTCATATAACTAGTATATAATTTGAAAACTATTAAATGGTTTCCCGTAAGCTGGAAAAAGCATTGAAACTCGAAATTTTTATTGATAGGTTAAGATTATTATTAATTTAAAAAAAAAAAGGTTGTTGGGTAAAAAAATCAGGTTTATTCGATATTCAAAAAATCAAGATTAAAAAAAAAATAGAGGAACCGGTTTAGAAAACCCGACTCAATCACCGTTGTACATTATCTTTCACTACGTCTGATAATTTCTAAGAAATTAATTAATCATTACAAGTGCTCAGGTTGGATTTTTAGTGCCAGCTCTTTTTTGTGCCTTTCGCAATTTATATGCTGCTGCACGAAATATCTTCTAATCATATTTTGAAGTTGAAATTTCTCGTACATCGAGTATCAAATTTCCAGTATAGGTTTATTTTCAATTTATCGATAAATGATTGTCTTACTGGCCGTCTTCATTTTCTAAATGTATACGAAAAGAGTGTAGATAAAGGCAGATTAAATTTTTTGGTGCCTACGGACGTGTACGCATTGACCATGTCCTTTTAAAATTTTAACCTTAATTATCTCTGAAATGTTGCAGTAACTGTTTTTTGTTTAATTTTATAAGTTTAAAAAAATAAAACCAAAAAAAGTTTTTTTTTTATTTCTACAGAATTTTCTCTTTCATTTGGTGCGCTTGATTTTATTCTACATCGCACTGAATTTTTTAAATAATTTAATTAATCACGTACAAATTCCTAAAAAAAAAATCCTGACGCTAGAGAGAAAACTCAAAGACGCAGCTTTACTATGTTTGGCCCATCGTTTCGTGAGGATATTGATATATCACAAAATGCGATTAAAATAATTATGGCCCATTTAAAAGTTGCTCAACCTTTTACTTGCTGCCTTTTTTTAGCTCTGAATCCATACATACGGATGCGTATGTATGTAAATATAAAGGTCGGGAAATTTAAATTGTACAACAATAAAATTCTATTTCCGTGCGCTTGGTTGACATTAGGGTGATTGACTTAGTTTTTTCCAAACCGGTTTGAACCGTTTTTTTGGAAATCTTTATTTTACGAATACCGAGTAAACAGGATTTTTACATTCGCGTAAACCGGGTTTTCACCTAGTATATTTGTGTATACACCAGAATGTAAAAAAAAATTAAATTTTTTTATTGAAAATAGAACGAGCACATTTTTATTAACTTTATATCTAAACAACTACTGTAAAATTTTCTACTGCAGAAAATTTACTCAAAAAATAAAAAGAAACCTGAGTGAAAATCGTTTACTGTTTTTTTTCCATTTGCCATTTTTCGAATAACTCGCTAACCGGTTTTGGAAAAAAGGCGAGTATTAGAACACCCTAGTGGCCATACTTGAGTTGACCTCGCAGTCTAGCCTCATGTTGCACAAACCATCAACGGAATGTTAAATATATGTGTGAATAAGAAATTCCATTGTGCTAAAAGTGTAAAAGAAATTCCAAAGGAGACGAAAAAATACAGATTTCCATAAAACGATGTGTGAAAACAAGCAGCTGCTATGTCTCAGAACAGCAAAAAAATATTACGAAAAAAAAACAAAACGTTGAAACAATTTTGTTGTTGTGTGCAAGCACTAATCGCCAAGTACGCGGGCAGACGCAAGTAGTTTTCATTTATTGAAATTGCGGTTGATTGCTGCGGCAAAGACTATTTTGGGCAAACTATTTGAATAATTTAACATCAATTTCCTGCTATGCTTTTCATTTGTTTTCTATTCTTCTTCTTCTTCATGTTTGAACAAAATTGTTGAAATGCTTACACAGTGACTAAACAGCAGCAGCAGCAAAACTGCAATGCGCAACTGTTTTTTTTTGTGCTGTTGTTGCACTTGTGGTATGCATATTTCACATTCTGTTGCTGCAAGTTGGCGTTGGAACTTTTAGAAATCCAGTTAGTTTTTACTTTATTGCGGTTTATGGTTTCTGCACACTGCCAGCGCCGCATTTCTGTAGACTTTCTGATTTTCCAAATGTTGCCGAAAAAGTTTTTTCTTAAACCGCAACTCATGGCGTTCCTCTTTCACTTCACTTGCAAATTGCAATAAAAAGCCATTTGTAGCTAGACACTTTTGTCGCTACGCCGATTTTGCTTGCAACTTACTTCGCTTTCATGCTGTGCCACAAATTTTCCTTACTGATGCGTCGCCACAATTTGGGAGACATATGCTCCGGCAGTTCTCGCATACCAGGTACTATGTACATACATATTCATGTTCCTACATATGGATGTGCTTTTGTTGTTGCCACCGCGATTCTTCATGAATAGTTTGTTATGCGTTGTTTGTAGTGTTTTTTGG